CTACTACAAATTTTAAAAAGTCGGTGCGTATTATACACGAGAGAGGCTATTTTTTGTTTTAATAATTTCACGATCGAATGTGTTATATATGTGTTATATACGAATATTTAAATTTAGTTCCAAGAACCCCTATGGATAGTAAAATTCCGCGGATAACAACCGGCCATGTATACTATGATATGTCCAAACATTTTCGCCGGGAAACTGCCACCATCTTATTTTCGTATTTTAGACATAATTTTAACAAAAATAATTATTTTTTGTTTTTGCCAGTTAAATTATTAAAACGGTGTTAAAATTATTAAAACGGTGTTAAAAAGTTATTAAAAGTTATTAAAACAGTGTTAAAAAGTTATTAAAATTTATTAAAACGGTGTTAAAAAGTTATTAAAACAGTCAATGATTGCTTTAATCAGTAATATTTTACGACACACCAAAAGCCCATTTGAATAGAGAAAGGTCGAAACTCCCTCCTCCAGACTAAGAAATACATTTGACTTTAGCAATAAATCAATAATGAAATGAATTAAACAAAAATACACCTAGTAATCAATGAACGATTTTTTTCCTGTTTAAATGAATTTGAGCTTCACTTCGACTGGAGATTTGATGAATCCGACAAAAGTCCATATAAACATATGTCCGCAAATCCTTCGTTTTTGATTTATTAAGTTTAAAGTTTACAGTAGACGCTGTTAAATGTACAATCCAAGATAGAATCCCAAAATACTTATTACCATAATTTGTGGTGCCACGTATTCTGTTTCTGCAATACGACGATAAACAACAGCAAAGGTTGGATGACTTGGCTGCCCTCACAGCGGACTGGAAACGCAATCTGAGACAACCGTGCAGCCTCGGGTCCATTACCATTCGCGCGAACGTATGTAAAAATCATATTTGCCTGCTCATGATATACATATCCTCCCATTATTAAACGGAACACTTCTCAGATAACTCACTACTACACACGTTAAATGTTGAAGACAGACTAGCCACAAATGTACGCGAATAACAAATGTAACCTAGTCTTCATGGCAAGATAGCCCCATCTACCGTATAATTTTCTTTAAACCTAATAACACATAAACGAAGGATTTGCGGACATATGTTTCTATGGACTTTTGTCCTTGTTTTGGCGTGAGTAACCCGCCCCCAAACTTTGTAAAAGTAGAATGAATATGGAATGTCTTTTAAACCTTGTCATGTGTTTCCTCTGGTATCGAATAAGTGGTTTGGTGTCGTGAAGACGCTGTAAGGTAACTTGCCAAAAATTATGACTACTCATATGATTTTATTCTAGTGGTGAAGACTTGTGTCGGACCAGACGCGTGTTAACAAACAGATGTGTCACAAAATCTTCTAACATTCCTTCTCTTGTTAAATTGTCTGAGTTTAACATGGCTCGAATAACGTTAAAATCTAACGTCAGTGTAAGTACTTAAACATGACTTCCCTCAACCACGGAACGACAGGGTATGAATTCGGAATTTTCTTTTTTCTAGACTGGTTACTATCCAGGGCAAGAGAACAAAGCCTTCTATGCTATTTAATTCATAGCTATAGAAAGATAATTTTTTACCTTTTCCAAAGACTTTAAAGGAAAATGAACAAAATATAGGGTGTATATGTGAGTGTGTGTGGGGGGGGGTGTAAGTGTTTCTGTGTATGCCTTTACATACACACACACACGCATTACTAACCATCAATTGTAGGAAGACAGAATGTATGGCCGTTAGCAAAAGGGACATCCCAAGATGCTGGTTACAAAATGGAGATCTTAGAATTAAGCAAGTACAGAACTTTAGTTATCTGGAAGATGTTATAAAAGATGATAGAATATATGAGATAGAATTCCAAAGGGGTATTCGAATAGCGAAAGATGACTTCAGAAACTAAACAAAACATTAAGTTTGGTTTGGTTTGGTTTGCGGCATATCAATCTCAACGAGTTATTTAATGCCGACAACATTTTTAGGATAGATTCGTATGAAAAGAATATGTATTCTTTGGTTTAGATTGGTTTGGTTTATTTTGTTTTACGACATATCAACCTCAATGGGTTATTTAATGCCAACAAGATTTTTAGAATAGATTCGTATGAATAGAATATGTATTCTTTGGTTTAGATTGGTTTGGTTTATTTTGTTTTACGACATATCAACCTCAATGGGTTATTTAATGCCAACAAGATTTTTAGAATAGATTCGTATGAATAGAATATGTATTCTTTGGTTTAGATTGATTTGGTTTATTTTGTTTTACGACATATCAACCTCAATGGGTTATTTAATGCCGACAACATTTTTAGAATAGATTTGTATGAATAGAATATGTATTCTTTGGTTTAGATTGGTTTGGTTTATTTTGTTTTACGATATATCAACCTCAATGGGTTATTTAATGCCGACAACATTTTTAATGCTGGTATTTTTTTTCAAAAATGTATTGCTGCTAATATTTTTTTTCAAAACATTTATTGCTTGTAATAAATATTTAC